GGGATCATTTCATTGTTTCAAGGGTTAGACATATATGAAGAAGTTTGGGTAGATATTAACAGGAGTTGCTTAGTGTGGACCAGTAGGCCTTCTCCAGTTTCATTTATTCTCATGTTTTTTTCATAAATGACAAATAATCCATGTAGTGTCATAATAACTTAATGTGTTAAGTTTCATATAAACTCGTATTTCCCTATTTGCTAACCTTGCTAATAGCTGAAGTCCAATTGTTCATTGCACAAGTTGACTAACATTGCGGTTGTCGTCTGCCTCTGCATTGTAAACGTTGATTGACAAACTGATGTGATTTTAACATTACGCACTCACTTTGTTGACAAGTGACGTCTAAGTAAAGTTAGCTGACAAATAACATCTGGGAAGACTTAGCTGAAAATTAACATTTAGGTAAAGTTAGCTGAAAATTAACATTTACGTAAAGTTAGCTGAAAATTAACATTTAGGTAAAGTTAGCTGAAAATTAACATTTAGGTAAAGTTAGCTGAAAAGGAACATCTAGGTAAATTTAGCTGATAAATAACATTTCAGTATGGCGCTCTTCATCAGAACAGGAAATAAGTGTTTTGATAATATCTTTGGTGATCGTTCTTTTCCTTAGACACCACAAGTTATGAAATATTTTGTTTCTACAAATTTTCAAAATTATCGCATTAAATCATAAAAGCAGAATAAACATAGACACGAGAAGGTTTGCAGAGAAGCATTTGTCCTTTCTTGTTATGGACAATGTACGTTATCACTCTCAATTACGATACCCGGAGTATCACGCTTAATTACAATACCCGGGAAAACTGTTACAATACCTGACATCACTCTAAATTACAAAATCCGGCACCACTCACAATTACTCCATTTAGCTAGTGTTTTTTTCCAACTATTTACAACTCAAATTAAGGTAAATGGTTTTAGTTCAGAGTATTGTATAGAAATTTACAGCGTTGTGTGTTGCTCTTGATTATCAATTATTAAACAAAACTTTATAGCGTCTTACTCTTCATCTTCCATGACGGTGATGTTTAATTTTCTTGAAGGTTAGGTTAAATGTCTTAATTGTGTTTAGTGGGAGAGACGCCGCACTCTGACGATGTTATTCTCAAGATAACGGTAATTGTGGTAATGTTAATGTGTGTACTCACCGACCTGTGCTTGCGGGGGTTGAGCTCTGGCTCTTTGGTCCCGCCTCTCAACTGACAATCAACCTGTGTACAGATTCCTGAGCCTACTGAGCTCTATCATATCTTCATTTGAAACTGTGTATGGAGTCAGCTTCCACCACATCACTGCCTAGTGCATTCCATTTGTTAACTACTCTGACACTGAAAAAGTTCTTTCTAACGTCACTGTGGCTCATCTGGGTACTCAGTCTCCACCTGTGTCCCCTTGTTCGTGTTCCACCCGTGTGAATGTGTACCGCGCGCGCGCGTGTATGTGTGTGTGTGTGTGTAATATTTACTATTTCTGCCTATATGATCGAGTTGTTAGCTCTTGGAACCCAGCCATTCGAACCACCAGTTGTTTAATGTAGTGACTACCTACCTATTTTTCCTCTGGCATATCGACTACATATATTTCTCTCCCTCACCTACACACACACACACACACACACACACACACACACACACACACACACACACACACACACACACACACACACACACCACTCACACGTGTGTGTGTGTATTCGCACGCGCAAATCTCAGGATTCAGCCCGTAGAAGCTTTCTAACACCCTAGTACTAATTAACTGCTAGGTGAACAGTGGCGTCAAGTGAAAGAAACGCAGCCAAATTTGTTTCTGCCTCGGCCAGGAATGGAACCCGGGTTCTTTGGGCTACGACTCCCGAGCGCTGTGTACTGTGAGTGTGTGTGAGAGAGAGAGAGAGAGAGAGAGAGAGAAAGAGAGAGAGAGAGAGAGAGAGCTCACATGGAACATCTGACCTACATGACAAGTGCCCCATAAGGAATGTCAGCGTGTTGAAGAAACGTTCATCTATACACCTGTTGACCTATTGAGAGACACAGGACCTGCTTTCCACCATCATCCCCGAGCTCCTCAAAGTCGTCTTGGGGGTAAAAAAATTTGAGAGCTGTCTTTTTTCTGGGGAGAGGGGGGGGGGACGTGGGGGAGATGGGGGAGAGGGGGGATGGGGGGAGTTTTATTCGTAGGTACATGACTGGACGGAAAGAAGATAGGGGAGGGGGGGGGGAGGGAAGGAAGAGTGAATGGTTGTAGTGAAGTTCCTGAAACGGGGAAGGGTGAGAATAAGGGAGGGAAGGAAGAGGGAGGGGGGGGGGTAGAGAATAAATAGAAGAGAATGGGGGTGTTGTATGTGTAATTGCTACGTAATGGTTGTTTTATATTTTTTCTCCACTTTTCCTCTAATAAAAAGTATATCTACTATTTCCTTTAGTACCCTCAACCTATTTTCTTTGGGTATTGTTTCCCATTTTCTTTGTATGTTAAATGAGAGAGAGGTGTACATATATGTGCATATATATATATATAATATATATATATATATATATATATATATATATATATATATATATATATATATATATATATATATATATATATATTATTAAATATGACCGAAAAAGTAAGATTAATAATTCTAACACGAATTTTCTCAATCTTTCGTACATTTCGCTTCACTGTTGGAGGTAAATCAAAAATCAATTCTCCAAAATTCATTTTTATTTCTAGTTTTTTTATTTCTATTTCTAACTAAAAATAAAAATGAATTTTGGAGAATTGATTTTTGATTTACCTCCAACAGTGAAGCGAAATGTACGAAAGATTGAGAAAATTCGTGTTAGAATTATTAATCTTACTTTTTCGGTCATATTTAATAATATATGTCTACAGGAAAGACTGCTACCAAAATATACTAATATATATATATATATATATATATATATATATATATATATATATATATCCTTTCAACCCATCCTCCTAAAATGATAGTACTTGCAGTAACTATTTGGTGGAAAGTACCAATATCTGACCTACATGAAGGACCACCGGAAAGTCGAACTTTTCTACCTTTGAATTTGGATTAAAGGGGAAACTTTTTTTTAACCATAACATAAATATAGACCCTAACCTAACCTGTCCTAGCAATCCTAAATCGAATACACACTACCTTAGGCCTAATACAACACAAATATGTGTTCCTCAGCATGTTTAAGTTTGGTTATTAGCTTTTTGTTTCAGAACTGCAAACTTAAAAATACAAAAAGTTAATTTTTGTGTTTGTGGTCCTACACAACATATTGGTACTTTCGACCAAATAGTTAATATAAGTACTATTATTTCAAGAGGATGGGTCGACCCTTGCACGCCCATTTGTTTAATCTAAATATTCAACTGTGGGAGGGGGAAATGGGAGACAGAGGAAAGGGAATGAGAGGAATGAGGTAGAGATTAAGAGATAGAGGCGAAATGAGAGCGGGAGAATAATATAAAGAGTGAAAGGGAAAGACAGACAGAGATGCAGAGAGAAGCAGATAGACAGGAAAACACAGATAAATCTGGAGTGCTCGACACGTATTATATGTAAGGAAATGTTTGTCTGTCCAATGTTGGAGGTCAGACGCCTGGGGGGTAGATTCAGCCAACTTGTCAGGAAGACACATTGTTGGTATGTGACTGCCATAGGTTGGTCGGGGTCAGCCCTTGAGAAATATCGATCTTTTCCCCTGCCATTTTGATGAAACCTGAAATTGGGGATTAGTGTCCTGTGTTCTTGAGGATATCCTCATATTGCACCCAAAATTTGCCAGTGCAGGCTACTAAACATATGGCCCTGAATGACTAACTATCCTGCGAGATGGAAACTTTTAGTTCCACTGCTACGTTATTCACTCTTGTGTTCATGATATTCTCACCCAGATTTTGCCAGTGCAGACTACTGTTCACATGCCTTTGTATAACTAACCATCCTGTGTGATGGGGATTTTAGCATCACGAAGCTAGCTTTTTGACACACACTGTACTCCCCTTCATATAGTCTAGGGTAGCTGCACAAATGTAGATTTACCTATATATGTTAATAAAAAAGTATCATAATATTTCATTATTATTTGACAGAGGCAGAGACAAAGGCATATAGAGAGAGAGAGAAAGAAGGAAAGGATAGGGATGTTGAAAGAATGAGGGAGAGAAAGATGGAGAGGGGAAGAGGTGGAAAGAGGAAAGAGGAAGAAAGAATGAAGGAGGGAATGAGAAAGACTTAGAAACACCCAGGCACCCCATCTAGTTTTTCCTGTGTGTGCCGCCTCCCTCCACACAGCCAAATATTTTATCGACAGAACTTTGATTTTAGTTCATACGATCTAAAACAATTTCTTTCCACGCTTTTACATATGCTTCATATTGTGGTTGACTCTTGCGGTGCTCTCCTCACCCCACTAGTCCTTCGCATCGTACTGTGACACTCGAGATCCAAGACTAACTCTTCTTCATCTTTAGCAGATATAAGGCAATCAAAATTTTGCAGGGTTCTCAGCCATATTGGTGATGTCTCAGTAACCTTACAGACTCCACTTCAGGAGAGGTATTCGTGTCGTTCCGTCTCCTAATCTAGGATCTGTTGTTTTCAAGATTTTGTAACACAGGCTAAATAGATTTCCAGACTTGCAACCTTCATTTGATAATTACATTTTCTTGTCTTAAAGTGTGAGGTGTTTGGACCAGTGGCAAATTGGACCAAATTTAATAAAATTTAATACAAAATATGTTTATTATTCATCTTGAGTACCACTTAAGCCCAGACTATGAAAAGACACCATTATTATTCTAGCTTTTGAGAATTTATCAAGCTTATTTCAGGTCACATGATTAGAATTTGTATTAGAAGCCCCAACTAAAACGGTAGATGGAAGCCTTTCACATTAAATTTTGGAAGGTCAGTCTGATGCATTTATGAAGTACGTGTTTATAAGTAGGTCGAATAAGAGTAAAGAAAAAAGTTTATATAAGCTTTTAAAATATCTTTTTAATTTCGATTAATATCTCTACATCAATTTTGTGGTAATTAAGCTAATTATGACAGTAGGGTTCAGTAGTAGCGTGTCGGGGGAGCCGCTGCTGCTGCCTGCCTCTGGTAGGTGTTGAAGAACGCTTGCTTGGCGGCGGCCACCTCGGGGGTGTCAGCAACCTGGTTGGTGGAGCCTGGGAGCCCAGCTGGGACGGTGGCAGCCAAGGGGCCAGTCCACTTGGGCTGGTGGGTGTAGGATGGGGTGTAGGAGGGAGTGTGTGAGGGAGAAGCATGAAAGTGAGGGCTGGTGCCAGCACCAAGAGTAGCAGCAACCTGAGCCTGGTAGGTGTTGAAGAAAGCGTTGCGGGCAGCAGCTACTTCCTGGGTGTCAGACACGGGGGTAATTCTGCCATCGACGCCGGCAGGGACGGTGGCAGCCACGGGACCGGTCCACTTGGGTTGGTAGGAGCCGTGATGGTATTGTCCTTGGTTGTATTGCCCGTGGTTGTAGTGACCGGTGTTGTAGGCCTGTTGGGGGATGGCATTGTACTGTGGCTTGGCGGCGGCCTGAGCAGCTCGGTAAGAAGCAAAGAAGCGAGCTTTCTCTGCCGCCACCTCTGGTGTGTCCCTTACGCTAGGGACAGCCGAGGCCACGCCCAACACTGCCAAAACAACCTGTGGAAGATTAAATGTGATGAATAAAAACCAGTGACAATTAGATTTCTATCTCGGTGCTGGAACAACAGTCTCTCGCAGCTCTTCAGACATCGAGGGCTCTTATTCTTTGAAATACGTAAGATAATTTCTACACAGTCATCAAAATTGCTCCTAAAAGAAGCAATTTTTGACGATTGCTTCGGTCAATGACACTTAGCTGACATCAAAATACTGTCATGATTATAAGTAAAACATTTAATTCACCTTTAAACCTATTGTGCATTAACTACAGCTGCAGTGTTACCAATAGATCACACAGCTGCAGTGTTACCAAGAGGTCACACAGCTGCAGTGTTACCAAGAGGTCACACAGCTGCAGTGTTACCAAGAGGTCACACAGCTGCAGTGTTACCAAGAGGTCACACAACTGCAGTGTTACCAAGAGGTCACACAGCTGCAGTGTTACCAAGAGGTCACACAGCTGCAGTGTTACCAAGAGGTCACACAGCAGCAGTGTTACCACAGTTTCATACAGCTGCAGTACTAACAACCACACCATGAAAAACAACTGGAGAACAATGACACCTGGGCTCAACTTCGTCACGCTAAAAGACGAAAACTATGCTTAATAAATCTCACCTGGTTCAAGTAAACATGAATTAACTTCATAAACCTGAAATGTCGTCTAGTTCCTTATCAGAAAAATGTCAGTTGCAAGAAAGAAAAGAGAATTGACGTAATGATAGATATGATTATTGTCAGTGACTATTAGATGGAGATTATAAAAAGCCAATTTGAGAAATGAATTCCTCTTATAGGTACCCTAATTAGCACCCGAAGACAAGTATAGATTCCATGCCAATCAATAAAATGAGTTTCCTTGACACATACCCAACAATCTGAGGGATCATAAAAGTCAATCGAGCATCCTGGCACACCCCAACAATCTCCTCAAGAATATCGTCTACACACTGATCACAAAAACACTGATCCAAGTATGCAGAATAACCACATGTGAAAAATAGAAAATGCTTAACGCGTTTTCGGCTAATTCGCCTTCATCAGAGCAAAGTAGAATCTACTTGATTCTACTTTGCTCTGATGAAGGCGAATTAGCCGAAAACGCATTAAGCATTTTATATTTTTCACATTTAGTTATTCTGCATCTGTGTATATATATATATATATATATATATATATATATATATATATATATATATATATATATATATATATATATAATATATAATATATATAATATTATTATATTCCTTGTATGAAACGAGCAGTTAGCGCGTCAGATAGTTACCAGAGTCCACATGGTGCGTGTGTGTGTATGCGTCGACGGGGACCGTACTGTGGTGGGTGAGGCGCCTGACCCGCCCTATATACCCGCCCTGGCGGACAGTGGCGGTGGCGGCCTTGGGCACTCTGCAACCTTGATGAGCGCTACGCCTGCCCCCTCCTCCTACTCCTACTCCTGAACTTCGACCCAATTTGTGGCTATCTCGCGCTTCTCACCGCGTTCCCTCGCCGCGTTCCTCGTCGCGTTCCTCGCCCCGTTCCTCGCCGCGTTCCTCGCGTGTGTGTTAATTCTGAAAGTGTTCCTTAGCTATCACCGAGAGATGAAGTGGTGAGTACTAAAATGCTTTTTGTTTTTGTGTAATATCACATTTTGTTTTGTTTTGTGTGTGTGTGTAAAGGAGGACGATGACGCGATAGTGGAACTACCCAGGTGGTGGCCACGCCCCTCAGTCAGTTACCATCCGTGTCGGGTCTCACCGCCGGATAGTTTCAACACAGCCGGCGACGCTGATGGCGTGATTTCTGTAGCAGCTAGAGAGGTGTACTCTATAGCTGCTTCTAGAGTCTATGCTATAGAGTACTCTATATTGTGAACAGTTCAGATTTAACCAAGGAGGTTGAGAACAGTTTTGAGTGACATATGTTCACTGGTTTATAATTGGATTGTTTGGTATTTACGACGATGTCAACCAACAATAACAATAATGTATTCTTTGTGTGTGCCTATCGGCCCATAATCTTGGCCTTGTGATTACCACTATTGACTCACAACACAAAGGGGACAACCTTGCAGCAGTGGTTGTGATCAATTAGCTGGTTGTTATCCTCCGATAAGTGCAACAACATTACACACACACACACACACACACGAACGTTTCTATAACAGCCTATTTGTGGAGCTCTTATGCCTGTATATTTGTACATTCTCAAAACGTTTTTTCCACGTATTTACAAACATTCCTCATCCCTTTATTTGCATTCTTGAAAGCTTCACACATTGTTCGCTAAAAATGTTCTCATGCGATGTGCAAAGTTATCCGAATATAATATCCATCAAATAATCCGATTGTGGAATTCATCAAATTATCAGAGGGTTTTGATTCATCAAATAGCTTCAAAACCGCACGAACGATAGAAATAACATTTTGCATTTACTAAATAGTTTAATGAACGATGTCTGAACATTCCCTCTGCCTAGATGGTTAAGCCGGTAAAGCAAGGGTATATACATCCTATTCCTCCGGAAGATATCGTTAATATTGTTTACACAAACACAATTAAGTATGTAACTTCAGAGCTCCAGCTTAGCCTTTTGTTTTTAATTATCGAACATTGATTTGCTGAATAGAATCCCCTAAAGACTTGAGAATTTCAAAGCAAATTTACATTGGATAATTCGTCTTATTGGCGCTGAATTCATGCGTATTGTTGGAAGCTTTCGACTTAGCGTAGGTGAGAGTACTATCTCAAGGCAGAATGTTACAAGTGCGTATATATATAGACGTTCTGATCTACACATGATAGCGTTAGGGAAGCGTATATAGACGTTCTGATCTATACATTGACAGCATTATTGGAGCGTATATTGCTGCCCTGATCCACACACACACTTAATGCTTCCCAAACTCGACGCCGTCAACCATAGCGTCAGAATTCCGATGCTCTAAGTGAAATAGCGACGCGACATTACTGGTGATTTGGACTAATGAGAATGAGGCCTCGATTGGTCAGGTGGGTTTCCTATACTCGAATCCTTCAGGTTAGGAAAAACCACTCCAAATTTTACGCACGTCGTAAGCCCCTCACGGGTAAACACTGATGAGCATGAGTTCATGAGTGTGTGGTTAGATGAGTACATGAGTTGGAGTGGTTAGATTACATAGATTACATTCGCCAACTTTGTGAAAGTTTCGAGGAATTAGCTTGAATGTAAAAACAATATTAATGAATAATTAAAATTTCGGTGTATAGTTAGGCCTAGGAGAGTTTAGGTTAGGTGTTTAGGTCAGTTATATGTATCTGTAGTACGTGTGTCAACCCCTCCTAGGGCCAGGCTCGTTAAAGCTACGGCCGTACCGTATAACGTATTGTCTATTAAAAGTAGTTTTGTTCTTATTTATATATTGATTTTATTATATATTAGGGTGCTATCAAAAGTTAAGCGTAGGTTAGGTTATGTTGGGTGTTTAGGTAGAGTAGCGATTATTTGTAGTTGAATTACGTGGGAGAAGCATTTACAGAGTTGCAATTCGAACAGAGGTCGTCAGGAAAGCACTGTTCGAAAAATGTTGGAACGTCATCAAATTCAAAATTCAAATGTTTATTTAGGTAAAGTACATACATACAAGGGGGTAATACAGATTTTGATGAATTTATAGATAGAGCTAGTACATACAATGCCTAAAGCCGCTATTACGCAAAGCGTTTCGGGCACACAGTTGAGAAGTCTGTGTAAACCGTCGTCAACTATAATGGTTTGGCTGGTGAAATAACGAGCACCTAGCCATTGTGACGAGGACAGACTGGAATACTTAATCGAACAAGCAAGCGAGCAAGCAAGCCATTTCTACCGTGTGAGGTGGACAGTTAGTGGTCACTTGCTGTGAAAAGTCAAGGCGAGAGCAATACAGTGAAAAGGACTCGCTCTCGAAACACCCTGCTGCCACCTTCCCCCCCCTGAAAACCCCCCTGACTTCCGCCCCCCACACACAACCCCCCCCCCCCCTCTCTCCACCATCTTACCCTTCCTCTCCACCCCCCACCAGGTGTTCTCAGGTGATCTCGTAAACTCTTCTTGACGACCCAAGGTAGGGAGGGAGGAAGGGGTGAGGGGGAAGCTCCTTACTAAAGAATATCCACGAATGAGTGAGAACAAATTGAAGGGGGGAACAAGACATCTCCGGAGACAGGAGGGGAAGGGGGAATCGGGGGTGAGGGGTGAGAGGGGGGGGAAGGGGTAGGAAGGGAGAGGGGGAGGGATGAGGGAGGGACAAAAAGTGCATCACCTGGTGCATGAGGGAGAGGTGGTGATGTCAGCTTCTACCCAGGGTTGGGGAGCGGCGGGGAGAGGTGAAGGGGCGGGGACAGGTTAGGGGGCGGGGACAGGTTGGGGGGAGGGGTGATGAAAGGCGGGGTGAGGTTAAAAGAAGTGGACCAGGGCTGAACTTCCTGCCCCCCCCTCTCCCCCCCACAGCTGTTTGTACAAAGCAAACCATAAAAACTACGTCTTTTACCCATTCATATAAATATAAAAGCCTGTGTGTGTGTGTGTGTGTGTGTGTGTGTGTGTGTGTGTGTGTGTGTGTGTGTGTGTGTGTGTGTGTGTGTGTGTGTGTGTGTGTGTATTTCCTACTTGTATTTAGTATTTGTATCTGCAGAATCGAGCTACTAGCTCTTGAACCCCCGCCTTTCTAACCAATTAATTGTTTCCGCCATAGTGACAGTATTGAGCAGCGTCACTCATCTTGTGAGTGAACACACCGCCATAGTGACAGTATTGAGCAGCGTCACTCATCCTGTGAGTGAACACACCGCCATAGTGACAGTATTGAGCAGCGTCACTCATCTTGTGAGTGAACACACCGCCATAGTGACAGTATTGGGCAGCGTCACTCATCCTGTGAGTGAACACACCGCCATAGTGACAGTATTGGGCAGCGTCACTCATCCTGTGAGTGAACACACCGCCATAGTGACAGTATTGAGCAGCGTCACTCATCCTGTGAGTGAACACACCGCCATAGTGACAGTATTGGGCAGCGTCACTCATCCTGTGAGTGAACACACCGCCATAGTGACAGTATTGGGCAGCGTCACTCATCCTGTGAGTGAACACACCGCCATAGTGACAGTATTGGGCAGCGTCACTCATCCAGTGAGTGAACACACCGCCATAGTGACGGTATTGGGCAACGTCACTCATCCTGTGAGTGAACACACCGCCATAGTGACAGTATTGGGCAGCGTCACTCATCCTGTGAGTGAACACACCGCCATAGTGACAGTATTGGGCAGCGTCACTCATCCTGTGAGTGAACACACCGCCATAGTGACGGTATTGGGCAGCGTCACTCATCCAGTGAGTGAACACACCGCCATAGTGACGGTATTGGGCAGCGTCACTCATCCTGTGAGTGAACACACCGCCATACCAGTATCTTCAACACTCCCCAATAGGAAGAAAACCCGCTGGCTTGCTCATTCATTCACTTGTACCCAGACACAGCTGGGACTTACTCTGCTGTCTGCTGACTCTGCTGTCATCCAAATCTTGTGTCTTGAACCTCCCTCCTTACTTTGTCGCCTCATCCACTCTACATAAACTCCTCAGATCTACTTAAGACTACCTGGTTAAGATTAAATCCAATGGATCTTAATACACCACATTTCAGATTTTTTTCGAAAGGGAATCCAACTCCATTGACATCTCCTGTTCTATTATAGCAAATCCTCTGCGATAGATGTCTACCTAAGGCCTTAATTCTTCCTAAACGATTCAGATTTAAGGTCAACATTGTTATACTATCATCGAACTCATATTTGAGAACTTTTTGTTCCCGCAATATATATGTAAAAGCTATTTGAAAAACGTTTATTATTTAATAATTTCTAATTGATTTTAGAACACTTAATATAAAAACATCCAAGATAGATTTGAGAAACTTTTTATTTTATAAACATTTAATTGATTTGAGAAAACTCTTGATACAGAAACTTAAAAAAAAAAAAGATTTTTGATATCTCTATATCAAAGAACCCTTTGATATAGAGATATCAAAAACATGCTTTACACGAGACACTTCATCTCAGCAAGATTGCAGGCAGCTATTTCTATACCGTTATACTCCGTAAGAGTAGCCATAATCTTACATGCATGAGATTCCACGTTTCCTGCAACTTTATTACCGTCCTCCACATTGTACAAGCTTCACTGTCTCGCCAGGTGGTAGGAGTGTCTTTGTACTCGCCTAGTTGCACTTGCGGGGGTTGAGCTCTGGCTCTTTGGTCCCGCCTCTCAACCGTCATATAACAGGTGTACAGGTTCCTGAGCCTACTGGGCTCTTTCATATCTACATTTAAAACTGTGTATGGAGTCAGCCTCCACCACATCACTGCCTAATGCATTCCAC